GGCTGGGAGCCACAGCGAGGCGGGGAGCTAACGAGTCACACCCAGCACTCACCGCGCGCCAGGCAGGGGTCTGAGCCTCCTTTCATCCCCAGAGGAGACGGAAGCACAGAGAAGGGAAATGACCTGCCCAGGCTCACACGGCCAGCAAATGGCAGAGCCGGGAATCCAGTCCAGTCTGTGCCCCGGTCCCTGCGCTCACCCGCTCCGCCCCACTGCCTCGCGCGGGGCCAGTTTAGCTCTGACCATCCCACACGGATACCTGCGCCTGCGTACCGGGCTCGGTGCCCGGGTGGAGAGCTGTGGGCTCAACACTAAGAGGAGGCAGGGTCCGTCCGGACCCACAGCAGCCGGGCCCAGGACATGTGGAAAAAGCCCCCGAGGCCAATGCCACACCCCGTTGGGATTTTAGGAGATCTCTTTGGCTAGCTGAGGAATTTTCCAGAAGGCCCCAGAGTCTGGGCCGGTGGAGTCCTGACCGGGTGGGGCCCATCACCAAGGGACCTGGTGCAGGCTCCCAGGAGGAGGGCAGCTTCAGGCCCAAAAGGGTACAGCCAAGGAGGGACACTAGTCAGTAGTGTTTGCTCAGTGGGCTACCTTTGGGGTGGGCGCACCGGGGTTTCCAGGGTGCATCTTTTCTTCCCCGTGGGAGCCCAGCAGCAGCCAAGAGCCCCAGCCCAGACTCCAAGGAGAGTGGAGTCCTCCTTCCCGGCAGCGGCCTCGCCCAGTTTGGGAAGGAGGCCACTGGCCACAGCCAGGGAGCTTTTTTTCCCAGGCAGCCTTGGCCCCCCACTGTCTTCACGCAAGATTTCTAAGCTGCTCGTGGGAATAGCATCGGATGCCAAACCCATCCTGCTTGAGGGAGATTCCTTCAGTAACTTTTATTTCGATACAATATCACACTGAGAGAAAAGTTGCCAGGAGAGCACAAAGAACTCCCTGATACCCATATCAGCGATTATTTCCGTCTTGCCTTGTTTGCTTTATTCTTTGTGCGCCTTCTCTCGCTCTGTGTATTCCTTTTCCAAGTTGCAGAGGTGATAGCCCTTTACCCCTAACTATCGCAGCGTGTATTACCTACAAACAGAGACCCTTTTCTTTTTTTTTTTTTACATTGTCGAAATCAGCAAAATAGCACGGATATAAGGCTTTTTTCTCATCTCCGGGCCATATTCAAGTTTCACTGACCCCTTTTTAGCTTAATTTTAGTTTCCTTTTGGAAATAAGAAATTAATCCCTCAGCTGAGACGTGAAGAGTCTCTGGGCAAAACCTTACAGATAAAGCCCTCGATCCCCGTCCCTCAAACCTTAAAAGGAGGGGCGCCTGGGTGGCTCAGTTGGTTAAGCGACTGCCTTCGGCTCAGGTCATGATCCTGGAGTCCCGGGATCGAGTCCCGCATCGGGCTCCCTGCTCAGCGGGGAGTCTGCTTCTCCCTCTGCCTGTCGCTCCCCGCCGCTCGTGTGCTCTCTCTCTCTCAAATAAATAAATAAAATCTTCTTTTTTAGGCATTTGTTTTGTTTTGTTTTGTTTTGAAGATTTAAGAAGCAGGCTCCCCACTGAGCAGGGAGCCCGATGCAGGGCTCGATCCCAGGACCCCCCGGGATCATGACCTGAGCCGAAGGCAGACGCTTAGCCGACTGAGCCACCCAGGCGCCCCATAAATAAAATCTTAAAAAAAAAAAAAAAAAAGAGCATGAAGTCTCTGCCACTTACTGGCTTTGCGGCTTTGAGCGAGTTCCTTAAACTTTGTGCTTCTGTCATCTGTAAAATGGGGATGAAAAGAATAATCATGTCAAAGCTACTACGTGGTTATGGTGATCAAAGTAATTCACCCAACAAAGCTCCTAGAATAGCACCTGGCACGTGGTTATGTAATCAGTACATGTCGGCTGTTCTTCTCCTCCTGTCTGACCTCACTCTGTGGGGCAACCCAGGGGAACGCAACCACCAAACGTTGGGCCTGCCAATGGCTTTGTTTCCAAGGGGCAGCCCAGCTCCCCAGTGCAGAGGGACATCCCCCAACTGTTCACGATGGGAGCACCTGGGACTCAAGAACCCCAGGCTTCCATAGTCGGATTTGTGTGCATTAGCAACGTTAGTGCCAGTACCTCTGCTGAGGTGGGTGTCCCGGGGAACAGGGCGGGATGGAGACAGATGCACGCTGAGCCCACACGTGGGGAAGTTTCCAAGCCAGGCCTTCCAGGGCTGGCCTGCAATATAGGATGGCGAGTTCTGGGAGCCACACAGACTCTCCTGGGGGCATTGCAAAAGGTGTCTGACCCGTGGCAGATGTTTGCTTGGTCCTCCGGGCCTCTCATCGTGGAGATTCTGACGTTCCTTCTCCCTGGTAAGTGGGGAGGAACAGGGTGAGAAGAATGGGGATGTGGTGAGCTTTGCCAAAGTTCACTCTAGGACACAAGATGCCTGGTTGGGACGTACGGTGAGGAAGGCGTGGCTCTCAGGAGAACCAGTCCTTGAGGGCGCCCGGGTGGCTCAGTCGGTTAAGCATCTGCCTTCGAGTCAGGTCATGATCTCGGGGGTCCCGGGATCGAGCCCCACATCGGGCTCCCTGCTCGGCGGGGAGCCTGCTTCTCCCTCTGCCTGCCGCTCCCCCTGCTTGTGCTCTCTGTCTGTCTCTCTCTCTGACAAATAAATAAGTAAAATCTTAAAAAAAAAAAAAAAAGAAGAAAAAGAGAATCCAAGGAACACATTGAAAAATCAGGCATCAGCCAGAGTCTGAAAGCATTTAAAGCTAGAAGAATATTCAGCTTTCTTCTGACATGCCTACAAACAGAAAAATTTCATGGGGTCATACACTAAATTTTAAGAAAAAAACAAAAAAACAAAAGAACCAGTCCTTGGGCAGCAGTGTGATTTCTGGGGGTGTGTGGGGGGGGGGTTGCAGGCAGGGGTCTCCAGCCCCAACAAACAGAATAGCATATTAGAAAGGAGCCTGGATAGGAATCTTGCCACAAAGCCTACTGGCCAACCAGCCTGGGACAAGTCACTTCGCCTCTCTGAACTGCCATCTCCGTTCCTCAGGGGAGATCATGTGGGGGCACCCGGCGGGCTCTGTCGGTGAAGCGTCCGACTCTTGGTTTCGGCTCAGGCTGGGATCTCAGGGTCGTGAGGTCGAGCCCCACGTCGGGCTGCACACTGAGTGTGGAGCCTGCTTAAGATGCTCCCCCTCCCTCTCCCTCTGTCCCTCTCCCCTGCTTCTAAAAACTAAAAATAAAAGAGATTGTGTGTATGAAAGTAAAGGCTTGCTGGATGGGAGATATTTTCACGTACCAGTTACCAGGCACTGCTGCGGCTAGGATGATGGGAAGGTCATTGTGCTTGGGTCCTGAGCTGTTCTCCAGCCCCCTCCACCCTCCTGTTCTCACACATGCCCGCGTTCCCAGCCAGACTGACTGCCCCTGGTCTGAGAGCCTCTTCCTGACGTCCTTGCCTGTTCACGCCTGCTGTTCCCACCACCTGAATCGCCTTGACAAATGACGGCAACATCCTCCTGCCCTGGTCCCAAAAAGGATGAGGGCCCCCGCAGCTTGGGAAGTCCCCCTCATGGGCCTGGACTGCGTTCACCCCAGCCCACGGCCCCAGCACTCAGAATGTTCTTGCCTCCCAGTAGGGCTCAGAGCTGCAGGAGACAGCTGAGGAAGAGGGTCGGGGCGGGGGGTGCTGGTCCCCAGTCCCGGGGCCTCCTTGTGACTTGAGCTCTTCTTCTCTGGGGAGAAGGGCCAGCCGAAGGAATCCCCAAGTCCCAGCCTCATCTGGGGCGGACCCACATCCCTTCCTGGGGCTAGCTAGGACTCCAGTGAACGGCGTGTGAGAAAGGCCCGACCGACCACAGCCAAGGCCACTGCCTGAGCCCCGCAAGAAGCTCGGGCCTCGCTGAGCCTGCTTCCCCCCGGCCAGCCCAGGGCTTTTGGAGCAGGGTCCCAGAGGGCATGGCGAGGCTGTACGAGGGAGGCTGCGAGGCAGCCACACTGAGGGGAAGGAAGAGGAAATGGCCCCCTTCCCTGGCCGGCCTGACAGAGAGCTGTAGAGGCCCTCCTTCCTGTGAGGGCCTGGGCCCAGGGCTCAGACCTCTGAGCCTCCCATCTCCCCAAACCACAGCCCAGAGGTGTGAAAGAAAGAAAAAAAACAGGGGGATGGGTGGCAGAGAAGAGACAGGTGCACATTTCACACCTTGACCACAGGTGGGGCCCGGAGCAGCTTCGCTCTGACTAACTTCCTCCTCAAGCTGGCTGCTGGGGAGGGCAGAGGTAGGACAGGCACACCTAGCAGAACTCTGGGCGCAGGCCCCCGGGCTAGGTGGGTCTCCCCGAAGGCTGGGCCCCCCCCACCCCCGCCGACCTGCTCTGCAGGCTGCTTGGGACAGGGCCGGCCCCCCGAGGCGTCTGAGCCGTGAAAGCCAGCAGCCGTCCAGCGCGCACCTGCCCTTGGGAGGCCCGGGAGGGGCCGCTGTGGGAAGTGACCCGCCGCTCGCGGGGGACCTCACCTGGGGCCGCGCACCTGCGCGGACGGCTAGCCGGCCACACGGCAGCCCTGTCTAGCACACACGCGCACTGGCCTCGTCCCTGCTTTTCAGAGGAGGAACCTGAGGCAGAGAAGGGGCATGATTTGCCTGACATGACACAGCATGGAAGCCGGAGGGTTAGGCGACGGCCACCCTTTCTGGAGACCACCCCGCCGCATGCCCCGCAGGGCGGCGCACTCCACCCCGGGGGGGCTCCCTTGACCCGATGAGGCCCCCAGTCCCTCCGAGGGTGTAGCCAACCTCCCTGTCGCTCAGCATTCTCCGCTGTGCTCCTACCACGCGCGTGCTGGGCCCTGGCAAGGGACCTTCCAGCCCCGGTGAGCTCGGTTCATCCCGTGAACAGCCCTGCTGAAGGGGCCGGCGCGAAAATGGGTGTGTCGTTTGTCCAAGGTCACCCAGCTGGAACAGGGGCGAGTCCGAGCTGCAGCCAGACAAGTTCGGGGTTCTTCCCACCCCATCATGGCCACGCGGGAGGCCACGGCCCAACTCAGAAAAGCTCTCCGCACCTTTTCCAAACCTCGCGCCCGACCTTCTGTCATTTCTCCTCGCCAGCAGCCTGGGAAGGTGGGGCGCATGGCCCCCACGTGACCCCCGGGGCCTGGGGAGCACAGGAAGGGGATGCCTAGACTTTGAAATGGCACGCGGCCCCGTGACTTCCTAACCTCTGTTTGGAGGCCCCACAGCGGGTGGTCCACTTCGGCCAACACAAGCTGTTTCCGAATCTATCGGCTATTTTTCCCCACCATTTCATGCCGAAAAGATCCTTTCAATACCAAGAAGGGGATGAAGGACCTCATCGCAGAATACGAGACCCTCCTTTCAGTCGAACCGAGATTTTTGTTAGCCTCACTTCTTGCACATGTAGAGGAGCCCCGTCAATGGAAACGCCTCACGGGCCGGCAGCCAGAAACGGGGGTCCCAGCTCCCACCCTTCTTCCTCACTCTGCAGGCAGTCAACTGCCAAGTGCAGCCCATCCTAACTGCCGAGGCTCCTGGAATCACCAGCGCCGTCGACCCGCACTGCTCCTCCCGACATCCCCCGGGCCCTCAGCTCCCGCTGGCCCGGACCTTGCGGGCGACAAGGTCTTTAGAGCAAGAAGAGTCACAGCTTCTGTCCACAGAAGGTGGAGAAGGGGCCCTCTGCCTGGCAAGCGTGCGTCTTGTCAAGAAGTTGGAGGCAAATTCCAGGCCTGGGCCTGGAGGCTCTGGAGAAGCACTCTGACTGAAAACTAGACCCCAAAGGACTGGCTTTGCCTCAATTATCTCTCTCTCTCTCTCTCTCTCTCTGTGTGTGTGTGTGTGTGTGTGCGCGCGCCTCTCCTTTTCATCTGGGTGGGAAAGAGGGAAAGAGGAAACTGCTTAGCAAGACGCAAGGTAGGGGTAGCCTTTCCCTGCAGATAAGGAGCACAGGGCACTAGGGAGGGGTGAAGGGGGCAGAGGGCCAAGGGCCAGGAGGGGAGAGAACCTGGTGCAGCCCCAGTGTATTCTTCCCCAACCCTATATCCTCCTTCCTCTCGCCCCAGAAGCGACTACTCTCATGAATTTGTTAGCGTGTCCAGTCCCTGTCTTATTTTTTCAATTTTTTGTTAAGATTTTTTTTTTTTTTTTGAAGTAATCTCTCCACCCGATGTATTCTTCCCCAACCCTATATCCTCCTTCCTC